AATTTTCTATTTTTTGAAATCATTTTATTTACAAATTGGTATATCAATAAGATATAAAAATTACATATTAAAAAACTACGTCAAAAGTTCTACAAAACAAGAGGTGACAAGAATATTTTATTTTATTAAATACTTAATGAAATCGTGTAAACAAACAAAAGTTATCGAGAGGAGAGAAAAAAAATTGTAATCTATTTAGGGACGGAGGAAGTAAGTTTTATAGAACGTGATACTTCCTCCGTCCTAAAACTTTCTTCTCAGTTTGACTTTTCTCCATTTTTAATTTTTGGCTTTGACTTCAAATTTTACCCTCTTTAAAAAAGATTTTTTGAAATTTTTTTTGCAATCATTCAAAATATAGAGTTAGAAGATAATTGGTGTAAATACATGAGGGTATTAATGTCATTTGTCATCTTTTTTTTCTAATGGGTAGGTAGTTTTAGGACGGAGAAAAAGGGGAAGTGAGAAGAAAGTTTTAGGACGGAATGAGTAATTTTTTGTATGCACAATGCACAAGAGAACGTTTCTAAAGACTACTCCGTATATTAAAATTATATGGTGATTTATTTAGTGAACATATGGAATTATTTATGCTAGTTTAAATGATTAGATAATTTGGATAAATTCAATTGTTTGCTAGTTGAAACTTAGAAAAAACTTGAATACTAATATAATAAGAGTTTTTCTTCAAATAAAAAGTATTGCTAATCCAGCTAGTTTTACTAAATCGAAACCTTTTGTTAAAAATGTATAGATTTACCCCTAAATCCTAATATGTAAAAAATTGTTAAATTTGTACACGTAGACTAAATTTAAAGTTAAATTAGATATTTTTTTATAAATGAGGTGGATTTAGTCAAATAAGATGTAAATTTATCAACACCCCATAATCAATGTGTTAGCTTTATCTTTAAATTAAATATATTTTTTAACATAGTTCTTAGATGTTTTTAAAGCTTTATCGTTTTAAAATATATTTTCTCGGTCTGTAAAATATTTTTTGCTTTGACTTTTGGAGGAGAAATTGTACAAGTTTCACCAAGGTGAAACGCAAATAATTGAAACAAGTAAAGTTTAAGAAATGTCAAAATGAATACGGCGTTAAGTTATGTTAGTTTAGATTTAAGATAAGAAATATGCTATATCGCCTTTTGTTTAAAACAAGAATTGTCTACTTTGATGATGGTGGTAGGCTTTTGAAACGAATGAAATATTATATAAAATTAAATGGAATAATTCTTAAGAATGTTTTATAAGTAATTTATTCCTTAATTTTCTTCCAACCAAATAAAGCCACTAGAAGTTGAATTTCCCACTTTATTTCGTTGCCAAACAATAGTATATATTTGGATGGAAAGTTCTATGGATAATTCATTTAAAACTTCATTGTGTCTATTACTATGTACTCCCTCCGTCTCACTGTCTTTGTCCACTTACCTTTTGGCACACCATCCAATGCACTTCTTTAATTTATTTTATCTTGTAATTTATATATTAAAAAATTATAGAAATTATATATTAATAATCTACGTAGTATATGTTAAGACAAATCAAACAAGATCACACATGACTATATTTAGGCTTACACATTGAGAGAATTCGATGAGTCAAAGTGCTTAGATGAACAGTTCAAAAAGTCAAAAGTGGACAAAGAGAGTGGGACGGAGGTAGTATTTTATTACAATTGGCAAAGTGTGCTTCTTAGAATTCCCTTTATTGGTGGAGTTTGTGTTGAACAATCAACTCTCCTATATAAAAAGTATCTATGTCTCAACTCTCTACCAAATTATGAGTACTTTTTTTTATAGCAAATTATGAGTACTTTATTAACTTTTTTTTATTAATTAAAAAAAGGTGAAGGAGGAAGTACCAAGAAGTACACATCACCAAACCCCTCATGCATACAACTCAAACTTCAAATACGGAGTATGCCGGTGGGCGTTGCGCAGTTGTTAAATACAAGAAGAGTCAATAGAATAAGACCCGAGTTTGATTTCTGTCAACTACTTTGGGAGACAATTATGCTAAGCATATGATTTCTGCAAGTACTTAGTGCAGGCTTTTAATTTACTCATTGCCACCAATATGTTATTAAAGTCTAATTTACTTGCTCTCCGTGACCGTCCGACCAGGAAGGGGCCTCGTGGATGGAGCTCATCCTTTTTTTCAAATACGGAGTAAGTTAATACTCACCTCTATCTTCTTTTCTTTTCTTTTCTTTTTTATTATAGAAATACTCGACCTCTTTGTTTCAACGAGGATTTTTTATTTTGACCTATTAAAAAAAGTGTTAACTAAGAAGATAATAAAAAGAGGTCTATTGGTAATAGATGATTGGTTAAAAAGTTAGAAGAGAAAAATATTTTTCAACCACATAGATTATTCTTAAAAAAATGGGGGAATTTTGGAAGACCAAAAAAAACTAAAGTACTCCTTCCAAAAAAGCAAGTCAGAGTCTTCTTTGGAAAGATGAAAATTGTTGGGACGGAAATTCACGGCATCTACTTGATTTCAAGTAATGGAAAGTCTTTTTCCAAAAAAGCAAGTCGAGTCAAGGGCTCGTTTGCTATATAAAATTGATGAAATTGGAATTAAATTTAGAATTAAAATTTTATCAAATTGATTTGAACGAAATTTAATTCTTCAGTTCCAATTTATTTTTGTCACTATCAATGGTAAATTCATATATTTTTGTGCTCCTAAACACCAGAATTGCAATTGTTCAACTCACGATTTTTGAGCTCCTTTCAATTTTGCTAACATCAATCTCCGAAATTCAAGTTCCACAATTGCAATTGTTCAAATCACGATTTTTAAAATCATTTTATTTATAAATTGGTATATCAATAAGAAATAAAAATTACATATTAAAAAATTACATCCAAAGTTCTACAAAGCAAGAGGTGACAAAAATATTTTATTTTATTAAATAATCAATGAAAACACATAAATAAAAAAATTATCGAGAGGGGAGAGAATAAAATAGTAATCAAAATGAAGACGGAGGAACTATGTAAGAAAACTACGGAGTATATTTTTGGACAAAAAAAGGAATTCACCATTATCCGTGCTTGAGTTGTATGTTATAAATTTGGAAATATAAAATTAATATATATTCATCATATATAAATATCTTTTCCAAGTCGTTGAAAGAAACTAGAAGAAACTAGAAAAAATTGAAATGAATTTTAAAAAAATGGAAGTTAATTTTTCCATCTAATAGAAAAAAAAGAAGAGAAAAAATTGGAAATTAATTTTTCCATCTAATGAATTTTAACTGAATTTACTTTTTTTTAAAAAAAAATTATCATTGCCAAAGAAGAGAAAAAAAGGCAATAAGCTACTCCCTCCGTCCCAAATTATTTGTCACATTTGCTTTTTCAACAGTCGCGGGAACTTTTATTTATTTCTACGTTTTCATTAGTTATTTGATAAAATAAAATATTCTTGACACATCTTATTTCGAAGAATTTTTCATGTAGTTTTTTTATATGTAATTTTTATTTTTTATTTTTTATTAATATGTAAATAAAATGAATTGAGAAAACTTGATATTTTGTCTCGATAATAGAAATGTGACAAATAATTTGGGACGGAGGGAGTATGTCATGTTCTTTTATGAAGCTATGCCATGTTTGGCAATTAAAACAGTTATCTAACTTTAACCAAAATGAGTTTATTTGACTGATTATTATTTTAATTCATCCTATTAAAGAAGTCACATGTTCGTTTTTCATCTTATACGGAGTAACTTTTGACCGTGGTGTGGTGTAGCCAAAATTTCAGGCAGGACAAGTGCGAGATTAGTATGAACTTTGAGGGCAGTCTTTTCGAAATTTTTCAAAAATTTAAATATATTCCTTTCGTCCTTAAATATTTTATACTTTATGCAAAACAAATCAGAATTTCAAATCTTGTTCATACATTTTATTTAAAATATAGAAATTAAATATAAAATTTATACATGAAAAAACTAAGCCAAAAATTCTACAAAATGAGAGGTGACAAAAAAATATTTTAATTTATCAAATAATCAATCAAAAAAGCACAAATAAATAGAAAATTTTTTAACTTTTCACACTTTAAAAGAAAAACAATTAACGCAAAAATAACAATTTTTTTTTGAAATTTTGACATTTTTAAAAGAAAAACAATTAACGCAAAAATAAGCAACAAATACTACTACATTCATTTTTAATACATCAAATTATGAAAAGATAAAATGATTATTATGGACATAACATCTATCTTCATTTTAAAAAAATGTAGCAATAAAGTTTTAATTTTTAGTTAAACAAGAATGAAGTATCAAATATTTCCTCCCTCCGTCACTCCGTCCTGAACATCATATTATTAATGCATAAGTTAGAACATAAGGGATGATATCTGGTTGATAGGACCCCGACCAGACGTTCTCATCACACTCTACGTTATACTAGCTCTGTTTCTCAAAACAATTCCCCTTTTGACTTTGGGGAAGAATAAGGAAGTGTTAAATTGTAGTTGACTTTCCAATTTTGCCCTTGATGTGATGGGTAAAAGTAAGATGTGATGGTTTAGTTGTTAGTGAAAAAGTATGATGTGATAGGTAGGGTATGAAAAAGTAGGGGTAAAAGTGGTTTTTTAATAGAAAAGGGAAGTGTTTTAAGAAAAACAAAAAAAATGAAAGAGGAAGGGTTTTAAGAAACGGAGGAAGTATGTAGCAAGACGATGAACTACGAAATTATCCTCCAGTTTAACAAAAGACCAACTCGCAGTGTTAAAAAACATCACCCAAACTCAAAATATCCTCAATGATCAAACTAAAAACACAGTAGTCAAATGTAGGGGAAGAAAGTGCCTCAAAAGCAGTGAGAGAATCAGCCTCAAAGACCAAGTTAGTAAAGTTGAGTCGTTTAGCTAGAAGTACTACATACCTTACGGCTATTACTTCAGCTACCTTTGGAGACCAATTTGCCTTCCATTCCTTTTTTCCAACCGCAACCACCGTGCCATGAGCATCCCGAACTACTCGTATATTGTACGACCGACTAATTTAGCAATTGCAATAAATAAATTAGTTCGACAATTAAAAAACAATAATACTAGGGGTACACGAAATGGTATATTCCATTTGTATACCAAAGCCTTTTAGAAGATTCTTGAATTTCTATGTCACAAAACTTCACTTGGCATTTTCTCTTTTCCTTAGGGTCCGTTTGGTATACGGAATTGATGGAATTGAAATTGAATTGGAATTGAAATTCCATGGGATTCAATTCCATAGAATTGAATTCACCAATTCCAATTCATTTTTTGCACTGTCAATTCCAAATCCACGTAATTTTTGTGCTACCAAACACCAGAATTGAAATTGAAGTCTTCAATTCCAATTCCATAATTTGAATTCTGTGTACCAAACGGGGCCTTAGAGGAATTCATTGTGATGAGTAGTTGTTAGTTGATGAATAATGACAATACAGTTGTGATCAAGGCTGGTTCCCAACTTCCAATATCCACCAAATGACACAAAAGTACCTCAACCATTTTCTGTCCATATCCAAAGAGATCCTTAGTTTGCAGCTGATTCTTGCGGGTCCCATCGTCGCGCTCTATATTCCATGTCATCATCAAACTTTGTGTTTCCTCCAGACATTTATCTCTCTCTCTTTCTCTGCTACCAGTAGTCACTGCAAGAACAAACACCATCCTGAAAATGGTGGTAGCGGATTGGATCTCTGATAACAACGGTTCGACGCTCTAACTTAGTCAAGAGCTTCGCAAATAAATGACAGTCTCCACAAATCCTGAGATTCTTTCTGACCCTGATGGTCTTTTCTTTCGGCAAGCTCATTAAGCCATACGCAATTGCAAGCTTTTCGCTGTGACAGAGAAGCGAGTCCTCCATCTGTTCACCTTCAAGGTCTTGCAAGACAAAGTTGGTATCAGGAACATACCCCACTTCTCTCAATCTTGAAATGATCTTATTCAGCTCTTTCTCAATTTCGTTTATCTGCGGGTGCGACTTATCTCCCAAAATGAAGGCATGAATCTGCTTGTTTACCTCAATCCAACTACACCCCGGTTCTTTCTTTACTCCTTTGCTTCTCATGGTCCTTCTCACATTCGAAGCCTCTTCCCATTTTTGGGTTCGCGCATAAATATTGGAAAGCAATATGTAGGTCCCGGCATCAGAAGGGTCTATATTGATGATTTGTTTCACGGCGTACTCGGCCAAATCCATGTTCCGGTGTAGCCTGCAGGCACCAAGCAATGTTCTCCATGTCACAGTGTCAGGCTCGCACTCCATTTCATGAATTAATTTCACCGCTTCGTCTAGCTTGCCGGCTCTTCCCAGGAGATCAACCATGCAACCGTAGTGCTCTGTTCCCGGATCGATTCCAAAAAGCTTCTTCATTGACCTGAAGTAATACTGCCCTTCTTCTACCATTCCTGCATGGCTGCAAGCAAATAGAACTCCAAGGACAGTGATGCGGTTCGGTTTCACCCTTCCATGGCTCTTCATTTCCTCAAATAGATCTAATGCTTCTTTGCTAAAACCATTCTGGGCCAAGCCCATAAGCATAGTGCTCCATGAGATGACATCCCTCTCTGCCATCTGAGTAAAAGTGCGGTTAGCATCGTCCACGCTGCCACACTTGCAATACATGTCAAGAAGTGCATTGTGAAGGATAAGGTCTGGGTGGAACTTGAGAACTTGAACATGGAATTGCCTGCCGACCTCTAAAAGTGCCAAACTGGTACATGCTCTTAGGCTACTGGTTAGGGTTGACTGGTCGGCCGGAAAACCTGCTCGCTTCATTCTTATGTAGAGAGTCAAGGCTTCATATCCGTCACTGTTTTGAGCAAAGCCACCAATAATGGAGTTCCAAACCACCCGATCATGTGTTTTCATCTCATCGAAGATGTCAAGTGCACTATTCGGTCGGCCCATTTTGGCATAGACGTCAATAAGAGCACTGCGAACAAAGACATCAGAGTCCAGCCCAACCTTAATGATGCTGCAATGGAGGGGCGTGAGGTTAGAAATGGCATCACATGATCTAAGAACAGAGGAGTAAGTGTACATGTTGGGTTGGACTCCATCCCTCAACATGAGAATCAACAACTTGAGAGCCTTGAAGTTGAGGTTAGAAGAAGAGTAGGCAGATATGATTGTACTCCAAGCGACAACATTTCTCTCAGGCATTTGATCGAACAGGGCTTGTGCTTCGCCCAACATGTTGAATTTCACATACATGTTGAGGATTGCATTGAGTAAGAACGTCTTCGGCTCATACCCGTTGGAAAAAACGTGTTGGTGGACATGTTTACCATGTTCGACCGCACGTTGAGCCACGCAGCATTTTATAAGCTCAGTGTAGATAACAGCATTGGCCCATATCTTGTGTCTTTCCATGGCATAAAGTGCATCCATGGCTCTTGGGAGATCCCTTTGGTAGCTGTATGCAGCAAGCTTGCCAATCAATGCATCATCAGCACTTGATCCCTCTGGAAATTTTGCTGCTGTTGAAAAAGAATACGAAACGGAGCGTTGAAAGAGAAAACCTAATTCTATGATTGATGAAAGGAGAGGTCTGAACAGCCCAACTCCTGCAGGCTCTGAGGATGGAATACTGCACTTAAAGCTTAACTTCAACATAATCACATTCAGATCGTAGATCTACATGTTGGCCCGTTCATCTTTCCCCAGTGGAAATGAGGTGATAGATACTACTTGCAGAGTGACAATGATAATGAAGCATTGGGGCTGCTATTTGTTGACATTCAAATAAATGCATAACCCTGGAAATGAAAACAAGAGCAAAAACAAAAATATACAAACATGTAAGGAAAGAAAGCAGCACTCGCATTTCCCTCAATTAATCCATGAGCAGTAGATTAGCAAGGCGATGAATTGTGCACAACTGCTATTTGCATTAAATTATAGTGCTTATAAGTTGTATATATAAGTTTGTTATATTTATTACTTTTATATTTAGGTAAGTGTTTATGTAGTTATAAGTTGTATTTATAATTGTCTCGTTTGTATAAGTTTATTATAAGTTTTCTATATTTATTTATGCTTTAAGTTAATTAAAAGCGCTATAACTTACTCCGTGGGATCAACCCTTAATTGCCCTAGCTATAATTTAATTGAATATTTTGAGGGTTAGTTAAGGTTTATTTATAATTTATTATTTGCTTCGTACGACATGTCCTCAACAAATTTTGGCATCATTGTCGGGAAAGGCATTTGCAAAAAAACTCAGTTAAGTAGTTGCATGTCCTCTTTGTGTGTGTATGCGTAGTAAGCTTGTTGCTAGAAATAGCCTCTATTCATGAGGTTATGCATGCTAGAACTAAATGAAGTCAACCGTGTCAATTTGCTGTTATTGTTATTAAAATTCCGGTACCATTTTTTTTAATAAAAGTTGCATTTTAAATGTTGTTTTATCACTTTTATGCATATATTGCTTGCTGATATTTACTGTTACGTGCTGATTTTTAAGCGCTTCATTTTCAATTATCCGCACTATTGACTGATTATACAATGGTGCCTTTTATGACCCAGCAAGCTTAGAGTATAGCCAATCTTTGGCCTTATTGGAAAAGAAAAAGGGCAAGGCTCTAAATCTGATTTGGTCTTTGAGAGACTCCCTCAGGCACCATTGTACCACAAGTTATCATAGATCTGTGCCTGAAAAGATCCTCTCCATGAAGATCGTGAAACTCAGGAAGAAGGTTAATAAATCCAGATTTCAGCTTAAGAGGTTTTCCAATTCAACATAGGTGATGGAAAGAGGTTGGATGGTCAGGTCAAGAATAACTAATTCCTTAAGGGTTTGATTACAGACTGCCATCCTAGAACTAGATTGACTATCACAACCTGATTTTTACAAAAAAAAAAAAGATTTGGTTTATACGTATATACTTACAGGTGTAAATTCAGACATGGTAAGAGTAAACCCAAACAGTTTCACAAGCTTATCCAAATCTAAGAAGGATCAGTGGCACTTACTTGAGCATTATTACCTCTTTCGCCAAGTTACATACCATTTCTCAAATGCATAAACAGACAAAGCTGTAAAGTGGCACGTAATGCAATATCAGTGTTTCTTTAAAACACTCAAAATTCATAATTCAACTTCTGGCTTCAATTTTTACAGAAAAAAAGTACTCCCTCCGTTTTCAAAAACACTTCCTCTTTCATTTTTTTCACTTCCAACAAAACACTTTTTCTTTCTATTAAAAAACCATTTTTACCCTTACTTTTTCATACCCTACCTATCACATCATACTTTTTCTCTAATAATAAATCCATCACATCTTACTTTTACCCATCACATCAGGGGCAAAATTGGAAGTCAACTATAATTTTACACTTCCTTATTTTGCCTTATAGTCAAAGTGGGAAGGCTTTTTCCAAACGGAGGGAGTAACACTTAATGCAACAATCAGGTTCTATATGCAATTTGAAACTAGAAACAAAGAATTTCATAATCAGATTTTCAGCATTTTTTCACTTCCAGAGCAGAATTCAGCATATAAAAGTCAAAATCAGATTGTAAAACCATGATTGATGCAACAAAAGTTCAAAATTCTGCAAAGTGGCTCTTAAGGAACACAAAACAGCATTGATATAACAGTAAAAGGGTGCAGTTTATTTACAAATCAGAATGTAAAGCTCCAAATTTTTTAAAATCCGCACCTAATGCTCACAATTCAGATGGTAAAAGTCAAAACATATGCACCTAAACCAATCCCAATACAGATTTTAGCAGTGAATGATCGATTTTCACTTTAGGATCACAAAAACAGCATGTATAATCAGTAACCGGTGCGGATATTTGAAAATTAAGCGCCTAATGCTTAAAATCAGCATATACAAGCTGTAACAGTAAAAACCAGCAAGCAAAAAAAGCATAAATCCACGTTTAAATGAAGCTTTTCTGAAAAACAGCGCCGGAATTTAAAAACAAACAGCAAATTGACACAGATTTTAGCAAAAACACAAAGAAAGTGGCCGATTTCAGTTAATTCTAGCATGCTTAACCTCAATTCTATGAATTTAACATGCAACAGATTAGAACACCTGAATAGAGGCTACTTCTAGAAACAAGCTTACTACACATAAACACGCAAAGAGAACAAGGAAATACTGAACCAATTTTTTTTACAGACACTTTCTCCGACAACAGTGCCAAAATTTGTTGAGGACCCATCGTGCGATTCAAAACAAATTATAAAGTATAAATAAACCTTAATTAACTCAAAATATTCAATTAGACTATATCTAAGGCAACTAAGATTTGATCCCACGGAGAAAGATTATGTAATTTTTAATATCAATTTAGCACACAATGTCACATAAAATGAAACATTACATAATTCTCATGAAATCAAGATCTCTTTTATTCTTTAAAACAGCCCAAATTTCTGAAAATAACAAACATTCACACGAAATAAACTGAAATAATCAAGTATTATCAGATCTCAAGAAATGGCCATCCTATGGAACTAGGAAGACAAAAAACCATGAAAGTTACAAACACATACAACACGACAATCAAACAATATGAATTCAGAATCCATTATACGATCAGGGCCATAAGAGCTTCAACAAAATCAAAATTCAACACACACGCATATCAACCTACTTATGAAATCAAATTTGTAATTCAACCACACAATGCATAATGTTGTAGAGAAATACCGCAGTAAAAATTACTTTTCATTCATAAGGGCATTAATTTAAAAATAAACAATGAAGAACATACACCCAAAAAAAATAACAGCCAATCAAACTTTTTTATTAATCATTTTCGGATTATATGAAAATCAAGCAAACGGAATGCATGAAATTGAGTTGAAATCAACACTATTACAAAGATAAAATTGAAATGTGTAAGGGGGTGATAACAGGATTACGTCTAAAGGCCATTTTATTTCTGGGTACCTAGAAAACTATAGAAATTTAGACGAGGGGTTGACTTACTGCTACGAAATTGGACTCGATTGGGCTGCTGGAATCGGAAGGTGAAGCTTTCATGACCAGATGGAGCGAATATTTCAGCTCCCATTTTAGTCGATTTTAAAATTTTTAGATCCAATATTTTTTTGATATAAACAAAAATATAATTATCACATGATTTTTCAATATCATAGACAAAAATGTCAAAGTAGAATAAATAATATTTGAATAATTAAGTGTGTATTTAACAAAATTTGTTTTAATGCCAAATTTTCTAAAAGACTTTAGGATATATAATATTTTTGGTATGGTTGCAAAAGTTTTTACTGTCATCTAGAACTAATTTTTTAATATTGTTTTTGTTTTCACTCATGAAACGACTTAAAGTTGACTATGAAGTTACACCAACTTGGTTAAAAATAATCCAACAAATGGCAATATTTGACATTAATTTTTGTTGATAGTCACAGTAAAACATAAGACTTTCGGGGAATGTCTTCTCTTGAAATTCACGGGTAGTCTTAGATCAGATGGTACCAAGTTCATTTGGAGTATGTAAACTTTTTCCACGACTTGATTTTCCGAATCCACAATAGCACTGATAACATTTTTCACATCTCTTCAACGACTATCATTTACCATTACTCAATATAGATGTTTGGTTAATGTTACTCAATAACATACTTGATGTCTTTTCCACTGTACTTGGTGCTTTATCTGTGTTATATTGTGATTCCTATCATATTTTTTGTGCAGTTGGAGCCGGGGGTCTCTTGGAAACAGCCTCCCTACTGTAGTGGGATTCAACTCAGTTGTTGTTGTTGTTCAACGACTATCTTTTACCATTATACAATATAGATGTTTGGTTAATGTTACTCAATAACATACTTGGTACCACCTTTTTAAAAACTATTTTGTATTTTGAGATCATTCAACATTTAATTTCATTCAAAAACTCAATTGTTATTCAATCAACAGCTACATCTAAATTTATCTGGCATGAAAATTCAGAACTCAAATACACCATTTCATCTTCCAGAACGAGGGATATGAAAAATTCATTTACCATTTTTACAACCTTCAGGTTATATAAATATTATAGTTTGAAGATGAGCTTTTTACGGCAAAATCAATGAAGCCTAATCAGAGCAGACATATTTGTGCAAGATGAAGATGAGCTTTTGACCTTACTGTTACTCATTGTAACTACTTTAAATTCAAATTTAAATATTGTATAGTATAATTGTTATAAACAATGCCATGTAACCGCTTTTTTAACATGTAACTTTTTGTTTAGCTTGTCGAGAATATTACATTTGAATGTTTGTGAATGTGAGCCTCACACATTTAATTAAAATCACTTAATGTGTGAAACACAAGTAGTATACAAACACAAAACTACACAAAGCCACATGCCCATTAAACACAAAACATTAAATAAAATCATTTAATGTGTGAAAATATACAACATTTGTGTAAAATATACAACATTTGGAAAGTGCAACTGTGTGAGGCTCACATTCACAAACATTCAAATGTAATATTCTCGACAAGCTAAACAAAAAGTTACATGTTAAAAAAGCGGTTACATGTGTATGTGTATGTGTATGTGTATGTGTATGTGTATGTGTATGTGTATGTGTATGTGTATGTGTATGTGTATGTGTATGTGTATGTGTATGTGTATGTGT